CACGCGTCTGCCAGAATCTCGCACCGAGAAGCGACTGCAACCCGTGACTGACTGGCTTGTTGCGTTCCTCGCCATAAGCAGGGACAAATTCATGGCTGCTGTCCGACGACTATTCAACGGATTTTAATTAAATTTAGTACGAAGGCAAACAAAGTTTTTTACCTGTCCATGTCGCAGCATAATAACCTACACTTCGCAGTACCTCAGTTGACAAAGCACTGTCTCGGTGACAATTCTGGTTATCGCGGCGATAAATATGAAGATGGCTGCCTTCTGGGATGTTGCTCCGTGTATTCTGGTCGATATTTGCCGACGTTTCAGAAGTACTCACTGCCTCCATCATCATAGAAACTACAGAGACCTATATTGGGAGCGTTAATAATTTATCTTAAAGAAACGGAGTGAGGATGTCAACTGATTCCAGCTGGCTCCGGACAGACTCAAGTGGCTTGTTTGTTACTCGTCAAATTTCCTAAAGGACAGAGAAATTCCTTTTCCAGCAGAGTGACAGATTGTCAAAAACTCCGTTTCATGACCGAGCATTCCGATGTTGTAGACAGAAGAAATTTTTAACAAAAAGTAGGTTTGTTATGTCGTAATGAGCATCACACTTTATACTTCATCTCTGACCTCTGCCTCCACGCGGCTTAAACTTACAATAAAGATAACCGAAACTCAGAGGCCTATCTCTCGTAATTACGGCGTGCAAGTTTGACGATGACTTCCCGGTGACCTCGCGTGTTGCTCAATTTACTATCCTGTCTCGCCTTGCAACTGCGAAAGCTGAGCTTGCGTGACACAATCAGTTGCAGACAGACGTCCACATGGCGCGTTTGCTCGGTGCCAGCTGATACACTACACCAATTCCATACCAGGCCTTCCCCATGTTCCACATTTGTGAGCCGAAGGCATTCAGCACTCGCCCATTTTGAATGCACCGCTATCAAAGGTGAACATATTTTGGGTAAGAAACTGTACACTTCACAGGACTACAAACAGAAAATATCGAGTTCGGTACTTGTTGGTTATCGGGACACAAAACGGGGGAGTCGAATATCTGGAGTTGGATTCGTCATTAATTGAAATAAAATATAATAACTTTGAAGTATATGTCATTTATCCACACTCATTAACCTAACCTAACCTAACCTAACCTAACCTATTTTTAAAGCGATGTGTCTCGAGTTCTAAGCCATTCAACCTCTGAAGCCGAAATTCGTCTAAATAATATTTTAACAAACCAGGCCCTACCGCGAAGAAAACACCACACTTAACCATTGCAAAGATCAACTGGTTAACGCTGTTTAAGGAAATAATCTCTGTTTACAGTGGGAATCATACGAAACCCATGAATGGAGTCACTGATTGCTGAAGAAAGTGGGACACATACTTACAATTGAGCTTTAAAGGGTTATTGAGAGTTGTTATGTGTTCTTCACGCTCTGTCGTGAGTTAATAACAAATTGTGGGTTCGTCCATGTTTGATTCTCTTTCCTACGAAATAGGGAACTGCGTCATTGTTGGAACATAACAATGGCCTTGAATCACATCGAAAGAATGACTGTGAATATAATTGTTGCATTTGTTATTCCTTCTGAGAAAGGGAAGAAAGTCCTTTAAGCCTTGGTTATAAAAGTGAATTTTTTGTTTCGCAAGCATCACAAAGACAAAAAATAACACAACCACAAAAACTGAATCTCAAGTACTTCTTCGCACGAAACTGATAAATCATTTAGCCAGGTAACGCAACATTCTCCAACTCACCAACGTTGGCAGTACCTCCATAAAAGCATGAGCCAACTACTATCAGAAAAAAAAGGACACGTTAAACAGAAACTTGCCCCCCCCCCCCAAAAAAATTTAACAAAGAGAATTTACTGTCGTGTCTCCCACATTCTGTCGCAATATTAGAGCAGTTCCTATTAATTCACAAACAACAAACAATGGTTCCACGTCACTTGAATCTGGAAGCATGCAATGGTCTGACGTTCGTTTTCTTTGAGAGAATATGACAAACTGGTGACCTCAAGAACGATGAATTTCATGACTGGGCGATATTTACAAGTGGACGGGTGGGAAAAGCAGTCGAAATATTTCCTTAGCTGTAACGAGCGTTCTTTGTCCTGCCAGCCACTGCCCCTGTCTGCAACTTAAATGTTTCATGTCCTCCTTCTATCCCACGTGCTTTCGTCATGAAACCGGGTGTACTGGGGTCCAGGGGGGGGAGGAAATGTTTATTTATTTATATTTCATAAGCCCCTTCGAATGCAATACGGAGCCCTACATGCTGAGAATTATATAAAGAACTGTGTGTATAGTTCATAAAAAAATTTCAGAATTATTCTACATGAAGATAAACCCAAAACTGTCCAGTTACAGAATCCCACGTATCGCGGGCATTGTGTCAGACGCGTGTATAAACAAAATTACTTATTTGCAGAGAATAAAATTCTTAATCTTAATTTGTTTGACAAATGTGCATTATTAGTGTTGATAATCCCAAATCTAAGTGTAAAGCAGCATCAGCATTACGTCCTTCTGGCATGACATACATCCGCTATTAGACTAAATATCTCCAGTTATGTAAATATGTTGACACGCCCTTCTGGCATGATGCCCTCAATATGAATCTCTCAAATAATAATACACACAGCGTGAATATGTAATATCTTTTCAACAAGTTACAATTTATAACACGAACAGTTTTGGTATTTTTATATTCTCTTTGTCCTCCATTATCTCAAATTCCATTGCCATCCGATGTTAACACTAGTAACTATGGTACACGACACGTCTGAACACGGAATATGAACTGACCGAGATGTCACCAAGATGATTGTAGAATTTCTCTGTATGGCCCCTAAATTTCTGAAACAGTTTTCTCTACGGATAGTCACGCTATATCATAGGTCATTCCAAAAGAAGTCTAGTTTTCAGTATATGTGCTGTCATTAGTGCCTTAATATTTCTTTTCCAATTTGTGGAAATTATTAATTCATAAAAAAAGTTTAAAAATCTAAGGACAATTTCACGTATGATTATAGAGCATAAAAGACGTGAAACACAAGACTTTTCGTCAAAGAGAAAAAAATTTGTGCAAAACTTAAGACTTCAAATATTAAAAGCGATGAAAATAAAATACCAAGTTAGTGCCCTTATTTTTGTAGCTCATTTAAGTTTATAAATAACTAAATACTCGTTAGTTGTAAAGTGTGGCGTCACTCTCGAATCCACACACGGAATATCCAAGTACGAAATGTGGCACTAAAGTTCTGTCTAAAAAATACATACAAAATTAAACAATGTTCTGAGTTATTCTTACTCGTTTCATTTTGTTACATCAATAAAGAAAGCTTCAAGAAAAACGCGTCGTTATTTTCATGGTAGAGTAGCATCAACTAATTTCAACACCTTGTTATATATTCCTTCGTCTTCTCCCTCAGGCAAATAGCTTGTTAAAATTACTCCCTTTCCGACGTGGAACGGAGGGGCTGCAGCCCAAATTTGTGTTGACTCTAACACTTGTGCATGCAAATTTACCGCGGTGATGTGGTGTTGTAAGTAACGGGACTTGGTATGTCCCTCCACCTCACACACTACTCCCTTGTCTGTTTCGCGCACAAATCGATATTTCACCTCAACAACGTTGCAATAATCGATATATGAACACCAAACTATTTCACTGCAAAGTAACTTGAAGGGATTCATACAACTGGGTAACAACAAATTCTAACATCAGAACTATTTCACTGCAAAGTAACTAGCCGGGATTCATAAAACTGGGTAACAACAAATTCTAACATCATCTGTGAGAAATTTTGTACAAGGAAAATGAAAGTGCATAACATTGAATATGACTGTCTTCTGGGTGGTTGTGCCATGTTGTCTGCTTGACGTTTAGCGAAGTTTCAGATGTACGTGCTGCCTCAATCATCAGGACTTTCATGGTCCTGATGAGGGCGGCAGTAAGCACGTTTGAAAGGTCTGTGAACGTCTACCAGAGTACAAGGCGCAACCACCCACAAAAACGAATTTCAGGCCGGAATTAAAAGAATCTGAAACAAATAGTTCTAATTGGAATTGCTAATAACACGAGAGACTGAGATATGCCCGTAACTAACTACCCTCTTCCGTACATCGAATTCTCTCAGGGACTTTATGACAAATTTGGATAAAAGTCGAAGTTGAAGTAACTGCAACTGAACTTAAATTTAAGCTAGGTTCGGCCCACAGACTATTTATCCCACGACCAAAATCCCGTGAGTCAAATTCTGTGCCGCAGGAACAGCTGTTTTTTCTACATGCCACACCCGATCATGAAAGCAAGCTGTAAGTCGCAGAGAGAATCCAATTAGTCATATGATGAAATTTGTCGGACTACAAATCAACTTCACACAAGCCTACATGTAATCAATATGGCAACAGTGTTAATCAAATCCCAAATTAAAATGCTCAGCAAAAATTATTTTCATTCATGTCGCCAAGCTGATTACGCCTCCGTCTAGTTCAAATTTCGGTAGTAATCCGTTTTGGTAAATATTTTTCCCTCCTCATAAGCAAACGCTGGAGAATTCCCTAAGACAGATGCCAAAGATTTTTGCCTCATCTCTGGACATTTTAATGTGCGTAAATGATATGCCTACACAACTTGTACTTATCTACATTGACTCTGCAACAAAAGCATCGTATGTACTTACATTTTCTCTAAACAGACACTTTTTAAAAAAGTGTAGTATGACAATAAAGCCGCTGAACGAATATCCATATTATATTGTTTTGAAACCACCTTCCGCGACATCCAAATTCTTCCACGCACTTCCCAGATAATCAATCAATCAGCCACAGAACGTTCTGGATCAGTCATCGCTGTATGTATTATAGCTCGAACCAACAATTCTCATAAATCTCCGAGCTTTAAAACAAACCACAACCACTTTTGCGATCGATATAGCGTCGTTACATAAACAAAGAAACATCGCATTCACAAAGGATGTACTTACAGGTGTCCAGGGCTTCCGCCACTACCGTCCAGAGCATGAAGAATGCCACAAACATCGCTCTCGTGTTCATGTTAGATTGGACTTGAAGAACTCGCTGGCCACCTCACAACATGGTACCTGGAAACAAGTTACAGCGTCATAAGAAAGAGCACCGGACATCACCAGGAAAAGTACCACATTCGAACCCCCAGCAACGGTAAGGAAGAAGTAACTGACGGGGAAAATGGAAGTTACTACGTCTCAGTTACTTTCATACTCGTGTTGTTCCTGAAGGTTTAATTTTCTTGCAGTTAACATGTGTTACAGACACTCTTGTGATTAATTATATGTATTATTATACATGTTAGATTGATTTCTTATACGAAATAACGTCAAACTTTGACCCTCAGACGACAGACGACTAACTCTAGATTCCCTTTGCCAATAATTTTGTCCATAAAACGAATGTCTCTTAACAAATTTCTGGAGAAAAAAAAATTGTTGGGACTAAATGTATCATCTTAAACTAGTCCTAGTACGCAGAAGGAACTTCAAATAATTTTCGTTTCGTCTGACGGGACTACGTTCGAGTTGGTAGTGGTGGCGATGGTAGAATTATGAAATATTTAAGTCCAGTACGTGAGCGTAGTTTGCGCACGGAAAACCAACAGCTTCTGTTCCTACCGCCCTGTATCCTTAAGAGAGCGCGTATGGACTGACAGGGTAGCAATGGCAACTAACTATAGTTGAATACAAACCTACAGAGGTGTAGTGCTGTGGCTACGTAGGTATGTAAGTAAAGGTTTGCATAATTCATAGAGCGTTACCGTAGCAACCGGCCGTCCAGTTGGGACTCCACCGCACTTCCATTCATCCACACACTGCCCACCACACAGAGCATTTGCACAGCACTATCTCTGCACTGTGAACGCACTACATGAATGCCGTTTCAAAAGAATATTAAGCACGTATAGTTAGCTGTAGCAGTAAATTTGTTCCACGGCTTTAAAAAATGTACGTTTCATTACACAAATGCGTATCCCACAGCCGCCTATCGCACAAAAGGAATGGAATTCATAATCGCCTGTAACTTTTAAATAAGCCAGTTTTGAAATACGTATTGGCGTCATCATATATCTTCTTCTACCTAACTCTACACAGAAGGTGATAGATTTTAGCCACGAAATTTTCCGCCTATCAAGGGCCAAACTTTCGAAAGACTGGGTTTCAGTCGCTCGAACACTGGGGTCGTGGCTAGATCAACCAAGCGGCCCGACGGACATGATTTCTTCTTCATCCCTTCAAGACGGAAGTAGAAATCAACAAACGAAATGCAGTTCTATTTTAAATAAATTGGACGATGGACCAGACCAAAAGAAGTTTTACATACCGTACATTAAGTTTTCAACACATAGGTCAGATCACACAGGATACGGTAGCTCTAAGATTCTTAGTGCTTGAGTACCCCTTGGAATATAGGCTTCCGACAAGCCTGCTCCCTTCACAAATATATACTTGACGTGTATGCAAAACGTACGTGGATAAACATGGAACACGCATAAAAAATCATAGTCCCATTCCCATTTGAAGGTTAACGTACATATAATAAAAACATCACTGCCCAGAATTTTAATTTCAAAACAAGGAAGACAATTTGATTTTGAACCGAGTCCAAAAACATGTTTTTCTTTCTGACACCTCGGTGTTGTTAGTGTTGTATGCGAAGCACGGAGAAGAAATGTCTTAATTTTCTGCGGTTCTCTGTAATCTTGTTTCGTCCTGCGACGCTGACAAGCTACAGTGCTGTAGAGTAGTTCAGACACCTGGGGGAATGTTCGCGTAGTCGGGGTTTCGCAAAGGCAGCTGCGGCTATGTGACTGATGAACGCGCTGGCCAACTTATTACCGGAAAAAACCCCGATATAACCAATAGACGGAGACCTCTGTTAAATAGATGTGATTGCGAACACAAACACAGGATTAACAAAACGTCGATATGAATTTCTATTAATTATCTACAATCTAGATTAATTAATAAACCCAAGCATAAGTTCTCTGCAAATAATTACATGGCTTTCTGTGAAAACTGCCAGAGTTGTGTTCACAAAATTTTAAAGCCATACATCAAACGACAAATCGAATCAGGCAAGTAGGTATTCAGTACAATCAAATGTATCTCATAAAGGTTTTGAGGTCCACGTGTGACCCAACAGTAATAAAAATGCATTACAATTCCCTGATTTCCATCAGGAAACATTACTACCTTCACGAAGTACCAGAATCCCTGGATCAGGTTACGTAATCTCGTCCGGCCCAAAAATTTCTCCATGGAATAAAAAGGTTCTTGAGAAGCTAACAATCCCACAGCTGATCAAAAAATTCCTAGTGTTTTATAATTATTTGTGGCTTGTTTAACGACGCCGTCATTACCTCAGATTATATTACTGTGAATGATAAACTCAATTGTAAAAGATACAGAATTGTATTCAGTGACCTAATTTAAGGTACTACCTCGATGGACTGAGGAAAATCACCAATTACCTCAGTCAGGATGTGTTGTGAAATACTTATCTCCTATCAGATCTAAAACTTCTTGACGATGGTGAAGAGTCAATTGAATAAAAATTTTCTTGGATATTATCCACCGTCTAGTAAAATATAAAACGTAAAATGACGTTTCGGAGATGGGACTCTATCTCCGTCTTCAGGTTCCTACACAGTTGGGCCCACTAGATAGAGCTAATCCCTATCTCCGTCCGGAGATAGAGTCCCATCTCCGAAACGTCGTTTTACGTTTTATATTTACTAGACGATGGATAATATCCAAGAACATTTTTATTCACTGCTAACTGAATTTCGTCTTAAAGTAACAAAAATGTGCTACTGCTTATTCCACAACAGATGTTGTTCTCCACGACAGATAGCAGCACTGACACAGTATGTCCGCCTGCATCCTCTAATCCTTCAGACTACCCGTACGTATTTTCTGGGTAATTAGAATATCAACTTACGTTACAGTAGCTAGCGCCTTGTAATTAGTGGTGGAATAGGATGGAGTGCAGTCCGCCCTACAACCTGAGACAGCGAACGGAGGTGAAATCTTTTCCCTCCAGGGCTCCTCGTACACAGTCCGCTTTCATCCTTGACAAGACATCCAGCACGCATGTTACACACTTGAGACAGACAACCCGACAGCTCCAAAAGGATACAAGCGGTCCTCGCTTCTATAATCACATGTCGTACTTATTTTCTGCTCCAATAATATAACTAGTGGCAAGGTTTTGTTTCCTTTCCCTAGCAATTGTACAGTAACAACTACAATTTGGGCAACTTTGTTTGTTTCTGTGGCTATAATCGGCGTTTTTGGAATATGTTGGATTACAGAAGGATTTCAAATGACGAACAAAGAAGGTTTAAAAAGAATCGGTACAGAGGTATACGCTATTGTGAAACGGAATTAATACCAGCTCAGGGAGAAGCAGTGAAAACCAAAAAAATGTCACTCAGAACAGTCAGTTCCAAAAATGGACACAAACGAAATTGTGTTCATTTTACTTCCCTCATGGAATCTAGAAGACAATGCAGTAGATCTCAATAATTTCAACTGATCGGTATATCGTGTATCTATATTTGCTTCATGTTTCTACACCAGCGATTCCCAAAATACACAATTTTAGGCGGCCCTTACGACCACAATTTGCCTAGTCCTTAATAATTTATATTCGTCCGAACAGACGTGTAAATATAAGGGAAGAACGGGAAAGAAAAGCTACCTGCAAACAACTAAATAAATTAATATTTTAATATTTTCCGTCAAATCACAATTTTAATAAGATAATAAAATATATAACATATTTTAAAAAAAAACAATACCTTCGTTCTAATATATAAGAGTAATCTGATAAGAACATTTTCAACAAACTGCATAACATTGTAAATGATTGTAATTCGAGTTTTAAATTTACCCATCTAATTTATACCTGAGGACGGTTAAATATAAACGAAACATGTCGTAAGAGACGTTCCAATTTGTAAATCGATCATTCGATGCGGAACGTAAAATGATATTTTAAATATTTTATATATTTTATTATCTTATTAAAATTGTGATTTGACGGAAAATATTAAAATATTAACCTACTTCACAATATGACGCAAATATACTACCTTATAAATAAATTAAGAAAGAATTACAAACAAATATTTACGAATCACTTAATTCATTTACGTACTCAGTAAGAGTCGAACAAACTGAAATAACGCATACGTAAGTAAGCTCGGAAGTAGCTTCAATGAACTTTGAAAAATGAGTGAATTGCATGAATAGTATCTTCCTCGTTTGCTCCGTCGTTGCACACAATACAAGGCACTTCATAAATAGAGCCACTGGAGTCAGATTTCCCAACTCCTAACCCCCACGGCATGTAAATTACATGTGACTGGAAGCCACAGCAAATCCAATAACGTCCTCAAAAAAAACTCGGTCGACTGTAAGGTAAGAGAAGAAAAAGTCAATATGAAGTTTGCGACAGGGGAATGAATAGCTGGCAGGTATCAGCTGTGAAACTGTCAGTGGCGGTTCGACACAGATGATACACGTCTTTAAGACTTATATCTTAATTGCATCCTGCTTGTGTTCCTCACATCACCTCCTCCCAGAATTTTCTCTAGCGACTCAGGCCTTACCGCAAAGTAAACAACTTCACCATTACAAACATCAATTGGTTGTTGTTGTTGTTTTTGAGGAAGTAATCGATGTTTACAGCGATAATCGTAAAAAGGAACTAATATCTACAAAATGTAGATTTACTGGTTATTCAAGTAGGTGGGTCATAAAATTACCATTGGACTTTAAAGGGTTAAAGACCAGTGGTAACTATATGAACCACCTGTTTAACAATGAGTAACTCTCCATTTTATATTTATGTTTTGTATGATTCTCAGGGTAAACGGCTATTACTTACTGAAGCAGAGTTAACCAACATTTTGTAAGGAAAAAGTGTTGTGTTCCCTTAAGGTACGGACAGAATTCTTAAATACCATTTAGACGATATTCGTCTACAATGGGTCAAATATGGTAACTGTAACATACCTTTGGTCTTCATAATACAATTTCGTATCACGAAGCTCGGAGCAAAA